ATTTAAAAAAAAAATTTTTTAATACCCTTGAAAAAAAAAAAAAGGGGACCCAAATTTTCAAAAAAAAAAAAAAAAAAAAAAAAGATGTCATCCCCTGATGTAAAGAAATTCAAGAACAAATGAGACAAAGTAATTTATGTCTATGCAGTCAGGAATGCTCCATTGTTTCTCCTCTACAATGCTAGAGGAGAAATTTCACCAGAAGTGGTGATGGTTCACTACTTCTGGGTGAACCATCCCAGAAGTGGTCAGTCTGCCAAAACTACTGCAAGAGTCCATCAAAAACTTACCCAGGATATCCAACACCACCAGCAGGTTCACCAATGAATGACTCAAGCAACAAATAGGTTGGACGCTTTGCAGTGACCTAGTCCAAGTCTGGACTTCAGTCCAATTAATACACGTGGAAAGATCTTAGACATTCTGTTAATGATTAAAGAAGGCTCCATTGTGGCTCAGTTAAAATAAAAAAACAGGGATTTAGTCAGGTTATTTTTGTCTGTCGTAAGCATTTTTCTGATGATTTAAAACTTTTAATTATGACCAAAAAAAAGGCAAAAACTAAGGTGGCATAATTTTTCAAGACTGTATATGCTCCGCTGTGATCAAACAGTTTGATATGATTAAAATTATTCAGCGATTGTTGATGTTCACTTTTTATTTATTTATTTTTTTTCCTTTTCCACCCAGAATAACCATGAATATTGCCTATCTGTCTCACACGGAGCAGCTTTCACAGGACGTTTTCGAGTACATTGACTGCGGGAATAATTCAACCATCCCACATCCTGTGAGATCATGAAATCCTCATTATAAACACAGGACTTGTACTTTTATCCTTGCAATGTGTAATTTACTACTGTTAAAATGATATTATATTATTTTAGCTGTCCTGTTTAATCAGTCACTACCATGTTAGAAATTAAGCATGTTGTTGCTTTAAATATAATAACTGTATATTTTATCACAGATTACGTAAACTCCTGTTTTCTGTTGTTTTTTTTTTTTAATTATTGGTTTTGTATTACAGAGTTGACCTCTGTTAATCCTGATTTCATTTGCACTTTATTAAACTGTGATGTTTATCGAAGGCTCCTTGAGATTGCTTTCTTCCTTCTTTCGTTACTTCCTTCCTTAATTTCTTTACTGTGATGCAATGCAAGAACACAAGAACATTGGTGTTTAATTTCTTATGAAGATAATCAAAAAATATTAGGAATTGCAGCCAAAGTTTGGACGGTTCTACTTATCTTTGTTTTTAAGTGCACTTGCCACAAGGTGGAGCCAAAACTACAGATAGTTCATGTGTACAATATTCTTTACCAAATAGCGCTGTTAAAAGTGTACATGGTAATCAGTTTGGCAAAATATACCTGTATTTTTTTCTTTTTTTTTAAACACAGAGATCAAAATGTTTTTGTTTTTATTCTGCTGATGAGTATTAGAAATCCAGAACTGTTCACTGTTTTAGCTAAGTGTCACAATGGTTTCATTTGTGCCAATATAATATGTGGAGTCTCAGAGTTACATTAATACCACTTTATTTCTTATACAAGTATAAAGTTTTTTTGTTTGTTTTTTTCTCTACAGAATCTTTGTTCCCTGTATTTTTTCCGTTGATAATTAATTTATTTTGTACACAGAAACCTCATGGTTATCCTCTAAGATAACATTCTAATGCATGTAAATTAATTTGATTTTAATGAATTAATTTGATCAACCAACTAATGGAAATATAAACCAGGCCATGTGGGCGCCTCTGCTTGCCCTGCAGCTCATAGTTCTCGCCTGCAGGGGGCGCGGAGCAGTCCTCCAGGTGTCCGTGACGTCACCCGGGCTGAAGGTGGTGATCGCTTGAGAGTCTCCAGGATTCCTCAGTCAGAGAGGAGCAGCAGAGGGAGAGCCGACCGGACAGCTGCAACACACACGGGGAGAAAATAAACATTTTTTTGTTTTGTTTTGTGTTTCAGCTATGGCTATGTTTATCGCCTGTGGATGAACATTCCTCCCAGCATTTTGTCAGGTATGGACGGTCATAATTATTTTTGGTTTCAGCGCGAGCTCTTATTTTAAAGCTGGAAGTCGTGTTTGCGGCTTTAGCGTATAGAAAATACACGATAAACCGCTGAAGTTGTTTAGCTGATATTTTCGTGTTGAAATAAGAATAAGCAGGCACCCATCTGGATGAGGGTGTTTTATCAGAAGAGATGAAGAAGACTGCTCTCCAACCTCCACAATTAAATTCAGTCAGGGGTCAAAATCATCAGAACAGAAACATGACAGTGCATTTTCTCTGCTTCTCCGCGTCTTCTCCATCACCCTCTTAGAAACTAACCCTAGAATTATCAATGTAGGGTCTGGAAGCACCGCACTGCCTTATTGTCCACTTGTAATGGCTGTAGGCTGTCCAGAGGCAGCTGTGTGATGGGTATCAGGATGTCAACAACAACCGGATTAGAGCTGCTGCTGCTCTGCCGCTGCTGCTGCGGCTTCAGTGAGCAAAGGGAAGCTGTGGATACATATTGCTTCCCCTGGTTTGAAATCAATCAGCCTGGAGGAAAAGCCTTTCTGCTTTAACCGCCTTAAGAGGATTAGGCAGGGCAAATAAGACTCTAACACAACCACAGACGCCCAATTAACTGTTGTTTGGCTCTGTAATGTGGGACGGAATACTCAAATGGGTATTATTTCATATAGCTTCATCTCAATGGTATTATGGGTGAAGCCAGTTTGAGCTGAGCACTGCCTTGAAAGTATTCATACTACTTCCAACTTTTGCTCGTGTCACGTTAGAACAGTGACCTTGTTGGGATTTGATGTGATACAGAAACAGAGAATACTGCGTGTGAAAAGGAATGAAAATTTCAGACATTGAAGGAAAACTATTGAATATTTTTGTATCCATATAAAAAATACATGTATGCTATCTTGCTGCAATCTTAGCTTAGTCCTCTCAGCTATGTGCTTTTACAAAGTGAAATATTTGCTCTTTCCTCTTTGCAAAATAGTTCAAAAGCCCACCTAGACTGAATGAAGGGAATCTATGAACATACATTTTGTAAGTCCATATGTGAGAATATGCCATTTTCACTTATGGACATTGTTAATTAATTGCGTAGTTACTGGGACTAAGTGGTTCCTCTGGGTTTCACTTAGCGGTGTCCAAGTGAAAATGTACCAAATCCACACTGCACTTTTCAGATTTTGTTTGTAAATACAAATTTGTATCTTTTTTTTCCTCTTTATTTCTCACTTACTAATTTGTTGTTGCAATGCAACACAAATAGACAAGGAAGCTTTTAAAAGTCACAGTAAACCTTGAGACCTTCGTTTTCTAGTCGAATGACACAGACTGATGTGATAAAGCTACATCAGATCTTGAATTCCTAACTTTTCCGCTTTTGTCGTCTGTGTTTGACATTGAAATACTTCTCGCATTTCAAACAAGAAGAACTTATCTTCTCATTAAATGTTAACCAAGCTCTGTCCCTCTCTTTTTCTTTGCTTTGATAAGGTCTCTGGTCATCAACCAGCCCTGTCTGCTGGAGCTGTGAGGAGCTGCAAGTGAGAAGGGATTAAATCAGGAATCTGTCACCTCTCCTCAGTGGGTGTGAATTCTCGGTCCGAATCATGGGGAACCAGCTGACTGATATTGCCCCCAACACGTCGTTCCTGCCAAGCTTCCAGTGTCTGCACGTGGTGGTGATTGGTCTGGATTCGGCTGGGAAGACCTCCCTGCTTTACAGGCTCAAACTGAAGGAGTTTGTGAAAACCATCCCCACCAAGGGCTTCAACACGGAGAAGATCAAGGTGGCAGTGGGGGCGTCCCGGGCCACAAACTTCCAGGTGTGGGACGTGGGTGGCCAGGAGAAACTCCGGCCCCTCTGGAAGTCCTACACCCGTCGAACGGACGGGATAGTGTTTGTTGTGGACTCCACCGAGCTGGAGCGTCTGGAGGAGGCCAAGGTGGAACTCCATAAGATCACCCGTACCTCCGAGAACCAGGGGGTGCCGGTGCTGATCCTGGCCAACAAACAGGACCTGGACTCGGCCTTGTCCGTCGGCGAGGTGGAGAAGCTGCTGGCCGTGCACGAACTCGGCATCTACACGCTGTACCAAGTGCAGGGCTGCAGCGCCGTGGACGGCCAGGGGCTGCAGACGGGCCTGGAGAAACTCTACGAGATGATCCTGAAGAGGAAGAAGACGGTGAAGCACAGTCGAAACAGGAAGAGATGAACTCTCTGCTCAGGGATTGCCGACATAACTCCCCCCAAGGAGATGCTCTCAGCGTTGGGACACTTCCAGGCTTAATGAGCCCCTTATTTTTTTCCGAGGGAGAGCGATTTGTGCCAACAGAATAAGACCATTTAAAAACTGCCTTTCAGGGGTCAACAGAAATGGACTTGCTCATAACACCGAGGCAGTATTGACTTTCTTGGTGGTGCAGTCGCTGAAAGCCGAGCTTAACGATTTGACATTGGCAGCAGTTAGTCATCACTAAGTGCTTGTTTAGGCCGGATTTAAAGACGATTTCCAACAAGAACCAACACATTTATATGGCAGGATTCTGGTGAAAAAATCCATCACTGGCTTTTACGGGAAGGCTGTTTTTATCCTCTCTGAAATATTTATCCAGTGCTTCAGTGTGCGTGCTGGACAGAAGGCAGATGTTCCCTAATAATGCGACGTGAAGCGGTGTTTTGTGGTTTCAGAGTATTAATAATTCACCTAAAGAAAGCACATTCCTGTCATCAGCACATGCAGATGTTAAGTTTCAGTTGCTTTGATTCAAGTGTTTATAAAAAATTGTACATTTTTGTAAATTTGGAGACTGAATAAATCTTAAGAGCCGTATGAAAAATGCATTGTCACCATTTCGTTTTTAGGCGACCGTGACTGATTTATTTAAAAACAAAAGCTCGCGTGCGTGTAAGGTTACTGTGGTTGCAGCAGAGCACAAAGAAACTAATGAAACGAATATTTCCCTCCGGGGTTAACTTGATCTGAAGGAGTCTCTGCGAAACTGCAGCTAACAAGAAATACATGCTGTTCTTTCACCATATTCACAAAATGTGCGCCCAATGACCATTTAGCCTTTAAAAGCCCTGAGTTATGGCCGTTTTTACTATTCGTGGCGCAGTAAACGAGGCCGTCACGGGGAGAACTGTGCCCTTCCCTTCCCCCACTGGAGACGAAACAATCTGTTTAGTTTGAGTCCCACCTTCTGTTGTCTGCCAACTGCTGACAGTGAAACTGCAACAATTAGTGGTCCAAATCTGTTGCTGTTATTTTTTTTTGTTGTTGTTGTTGTTGCTTTTATTATCGTGTTAATGTGCACCACCCAGGGCTGTTTTTAGCATTTATAGAAATTAGGTTATTCTGAGTGAATAAATTAACAGCAGTTAACTTTTTGGTTGTTAAAGATGTTTTTTTGTTGTTGTTTTTTTTTCTCTTGGCTCCAACTGACTGGGGTTTATGGTTAAAAAGTACTAGGCGTTAAAGTATCAGACAAGATATTCCAAAGTAGTGTTACTCAAACCTGTAAAAGATATAAATGAGAACACTTTAACTAAAAACAAAATTAGGACTCCATTTTCTGCTGCCAGACTCAATGTCTTGCTATAAGAAAGTACAAATAAATATCTCAAAATGCGATATGCTTTTGTATTGAGCCTCTCTACAGACCTTCTCTGTCAAAAAGTTAGATTGCATGTGGAGCATCTGTGACCCTCAGTTTTCCAGCCTTGGCTCAGCAGTGCCAACCAAATCAATTGGAGTTTGGTTGGCACTTGCACGATGCTATCACCTTCCTTCCACTTCAAAATTACACTCTATATTGTGTTTGCCTACCTCAAAAAATTCCAGTCAAATACATTGATGTCCCTGGTTGTTATGTCACAAAATGTGGAAAGAAATTCAAGCTTAGGGTTTCAGAGGATTTAAAACGGAGTTTCTTTGGGGAAAATGATGGTGAAGTCCCTGATTAGAGCTGTAGAGGGTCATAAACCAGTCAAGGTAAAATGCATGTTAGGAATTTTGAGACTGTGTGTCGTACAGAGACCAAAATGACCCATCCAGTAAGTTGTTGTCAACTTGAGAAATGTTGGAATTACATGAATCAAGGTGTGAACGCGGGTGAAACAAGATGAGGGAAGATAAAAGGGCTGCATGCTGGTAGCTGCCGCCTGGGGCTGTCACCTCGGCTTGGTGATGGTCCGTCCAGATTAACACACTGGTTCAGAATACCAGGAGCAAAAGGTATCACCACCGGCTTCGGAGATTCACAGAGTTTCACTTTTAAAGAGGACGTGAGTGCTATGAAGTCCACTTTCTAGGAGGGAAAAAGACAGAACAGAAACCCTTACTGCTTGCTTTGCCCTCCTGTGCACTAATGGGTTTCTGAATGCCACATTTCTCATTTGATGTCGCACAAAAACACTGGTATCTGTAGCAGGTCTGGAACCACATTCAGAGATGGGATGTCTAGTTGTAGAAAATAAAAGGTTAGACATTTTAGGCCAAAATGTGTGCGTGTGGGTGCTGCGGCTTATTTTCACCTGACAATGATGCGACAACAGCTTGTTATCCAGTAGCATCCCTCCAGCCAGGCGTCCAGGAAGTCGAGCCACTTGCTCACATGTGACTGCAGCGAGGCACAACACTTGGAGAGGCCCAGAAAAGCATGCACATATTTTAACTTCTGTGACCTCCTTGTCTTCTTTACTCGCAGCGGTGAGCTCATTAGAAGTTTCAAGGGTGTCTTTTGCAGAATCATCTTGACACAGCAGCTGGTGCCGGAATAAATTTGCATTAAGATATGCCTCTTCCAACAGCCGAAACGCGCTGTGGACATTCGGAGGTATCAGTCAGATGAAGCTAAACACCCACATATTCTACAATTGTATCTGTCCAGAATCAAGGTGTTGTTTTTGTGTTTTTGCAGTACCTCAGCAAGCAGCGGCACCAACCAGAAGAGCCACATGGCTCGTTCCTACTTTACATTCTTTGAATGTTTCTGACACATGCTGTGCAGACTCTCTGCTTTTTCTAGCTTGTAGACGACAGAAGTTGAGAAACGCTACTGAGATTCAAAGGTTTGACCCAACCCAGATAATACACATAAACGGGATGGCTGTTGTTTTGGAGAAAGAAAAAAAAAAGTCTGTGCATGAGATAAGCAATAAAACTAGTTATTAGTGTTCGGGGCAATTGCTTTCTAACACGATATCATGGTGGCAATACCAAATAGAAACACCCAAACTTTACAGCAGATTCCAACCCAGCAGTCGTCGTGCAACTCAAATCCCAACTGGTCATAACATTATTAAGCGGAGCAACAATGCTTAACAGCACTTTCTTTATTGTCCTTATAATGAAACTGCAACCTGGGAACTCAGCACAGATCCAACGTCCATCCACACGACCACCCAGGTCTCACATGTAATTTTTTTGTCTCCAAGGCAACCAGAAGTCAGCAGTCACTAAACGGTGACCTAAGAGGGCATCAGTGGGGGGTCATATTGCTTTTTTTTGTGGCTGGGTGTCCAATCCAGCTGAGGTTACTGAGGGGGCAGGGAGATAAGGGAAAAGCAGCTCGAATCAATACTGAAAACCTGAGATTACCCTCTCATATTGTCTACTCTGCTCCTTTTCTTGTTTCTTTCTTTTTTTTTTCTTTTATCTGAATCTATCTCCCAGTGGTTGGCCTCTTTCAGCTTTGTGAGAGTTTATTTTTTCTGGTTTGGTTTGCTCCACCGCTGACCGCTGTTCTGTTTTTAGCGTTACTGATGTCCACCATCGTAAAATACATCTGCAATTTAAACACGGCCTCCAAACCCAGGAACCGCTGTGCGTTTAGGGGAGGTTATTAGGTGCAGGGAAGATTTGGTTGTTTGTAGGAGAAAGCGAAGGTCTTGTGAGGGTTCACGAGGAACGGCGCTTGTAGGGGGGGCTAGATTAGTTGCTTCACCCTTTTATTGAAAGGTTTTAAAGCTGTCACTTGGCCTTATTTCAGACTTGAGCCTGCAGGATTGAATAGATTGCAGAGGAAGCCGAGGCTTCAATTCTCTTACGCTTGGAGCTATAAACAAGGAGAGAAATAACATCAAGGCTGTATTTCTCAGCTTGACAGTGGGGTGGGCTTCTGCTTTTGTTGTGAATTTGAGAGGTAAACCTTGTGTGAAAGGTTTTCTCTTTATCGTCATTTTCTATGCACTTCAATCGGTTTAATTTTCAGTGCAAATAACTCGTTTTTTTTTTTTTTATTATGTTTGGCCTTTGAGCGTCTGTTTCAATTTTAGATTTAGAGCCGAGGAACAATTTATTGTTCGTTGAGGAGATGAGGAAACAATCTGACTCAAAGTTTTATGGCATTACATAGCCAAACCTTTTTATTAGACCCGCACTTCATGGTCTTAGTAGTGCTTCAATTAAAGCTATGTTTAGCATTTCAACAGCATATGGAGTACACACTTTGTCTCCTCAGTGAGATTTTATGGGATAAACTAACAAAGTTGTCCGTATACGGGGAAGTGGGAGGAAAAATAAACACTTTTCACTTTTTGTTTGTGAACAACTAAAAAGTCTGAAATGTATGGCACGCCTCGGTAATTAGCTCCTTTGATTCTGACACCTCTAAATTAAATTTAGCACAGCCATTTGCCTTCAGTTGTCACCTCGGTACATCAGCTCCACCAGGTGTCTGGTTTAATCTCAGTATAAAATAGAGACAGAAACTGTGTCATCCCACTCCTGGTTTACCCTTAAGACAATTAAGCACACACTTGTTTTTTTCTGTTTACACATTTTAAAAGTCAAAGGCCTCCGTTCCTGTCTCCCAGAATTTCACCTGGGAGACAGGTGATACCCCCCGCCCTTATCCCACACTTAACTCAACAACAGATGAGAGAAACCCATATGGAGCAGGCCAAGCCGATAGAAACTGTACCTGTCGGCCACCAGCGCTCCGAAATCCTGTTGCTGCTGAGAAGCAGGCAGGCCTCGGTAAGCCGCAAACCCGGGCCGACTGGGAGCAAACACGCCGAGAGGCGATCGGAGCTGTTTGCTTGTGACAGCGGGCGCATCTGCGAAAGTGCTGACGCTGAAAGTATGTGACTTGATTTGACGCGTCAAAATGATCTAGTATACTGTTTCAGATTTACTTGTGTCAGTTCATAACTGTGACCTGGGGCGGGAGAAACGATGAGCAGCAACAGCTGTTAAGTCTGTAAGCAGTCGGTACAATTGTGTTTTGACTTTAGCAGTCCGACCCCAAACCCCAAATGTTTTGGTTCACAAAGCTCAAAACCTTCTAAAAAAAAAGTCAACAATGAGCCATAGTTAGAAACGCTCATTGTTCATCCTGTTCCTCCCATTCATGCACGGCTTGATTTTCTCCCTTTCGTTTTTTTTTTTTTTTTCTCTTTCTTCTAGCTCCCTAACGTCTTTTAGGAAGATCAGAACTTTTTTCTTCACCAGGCTTTTGTTGACACCCCCCTGCTTGGAAAATCAAAATCAGACCTCCGTCTGATGGAGGACCCCTGCTCCGTGGCTCTCCTGTGAATGCAGCAGCAGCAGCAGCAAGTTGTTAAATCTTGAATGTAGAGAGCGAAGGAGCACATGGGACTGGAAGCGCTGCACACGTGAGCTGCAGAGCTCGTGGCGAAGCATTCACTATTTGTCTTGAAGGAGTTTGCTTTTCCCTGCTTGTGATTGCAGTCTTCTACTTGATATGTGTTTCTGTTTATATTAGGTCGAGGCGCCTCTGGGAATGAAGAGGGGGGCTGGGGGGGAAGAAGAAGAAAAAAGTTTTGTTTGTTTTTTAATCAGTGTGCTTTAAGATTTTTAAATATTTGCAGAATC